ATGACTGCAACATCGCATACCAGGACTTAACACATAATCATTCAATTAGAACCGTCACATGGGCAAATACAAATCTGGGTGACATGTCATTCAATTTATCCCCACAAAATCTAAAACTATAATTTACCCTAGTTCAATTAAGCAATCAAATTACAAGAAACAAACCGAACACGATCGTAATCGAAACACAAAAAATATGAACAAAATCAAGGGCGACAATAAATAAAAGTGTAGAATTTGATTGACTTGATACCCCACAAAACTAAAGAAACTGACAGAATAATAGATTGGTTATTTAATAGAAGAGAAAGCAAATGCACAGCGCAGCAAAGAAAGAAGAGAAAACCAAGTCAGTACACTGTTTCATGTGAGAAGCCTATTCAAAGTCTGACCAAAGGGAAATAATTAGTGAAGACGGCTTCTGTATGATGGGAAGACATGCATGTACCAGGCAGCGGAGGGACCAGAAACCGGGTTAATGGAAGGTTGCGGAGAAATCAGTTAATGTGGTCTGGGTGGTGATTGGGCACAAGGACGGATACGGTTCAAATGGTAGGGTTTATGCGATCCGGAAGCGATGACGTCAAGGGGCGCTCACCCCCCTCCCCCCATCAAAGATACAGAGAGAGAAGGAAAAGAAGAAAGATGTATTGTCTTAACCAGTGTAAATTGAATGTAGTTTACGTAGCCGTCAGATAATACATCTGCATACCCCCCCCCCCCCCCCCCCCCCCCCCCCCCCCCCCCCCCCAATTCTTTCCTTCCTTGGTATTTTTTCTCCATTAAATTTTCTTATTTCTGTCTTCTTATTAGGGCTGTACCGAATAGTGATTTTCACTATTCGGCCGAATACGAATAGTGGTACTAACTACTCTACGAATACGAAAACGAATAGTGTATCATCATCATCAGGTGCCTTGCCGACTGGCGTGGGTGATCATGCCTCTCCACAATCTGCTATCTTCTGCAGCATGTATCAGTTCGTGTGCTGACACACCTCCATGCCATGCAACAAGACTATCAAAAATCTTCTATCGTTGTCTTCCTCTATCCCTCCTTCCACAGATCTTTCCAGTGGTCACCAAAAGTTCAATTTTCCCTCTTCTCATTACATGGCTAAAAAATGATGACTGTCTTCTTCTGATGTCTGTCATTAGTTGTCTTCGGGCTCCCGCCTCTTTCAAAACCATCGTTCGCTCGGCCGTTCGTTCGATGTAATTTAAACGCACCTTCATATTCTCGTTAGCAATATCTTCAAATTTGATTTGGACGAAGACACCCTGAAAGAACGAAAAATGCATGATCTCATTTTATCTCCCCCTCCCTCTCTCTCTCTCTCTCTCTCTCTCTCTCACACACACACACACAGTATACACTCACACACACACTGCGGTTGGCATTTTTTTTGCTGTTTGTACTACGCAGCCAAGTCGCAGTTTCCCCCGATACGACAGACTTAGGCAACAGCAACTATTGTGTTAATGAGAGAGTTATTTCAGTCCTTCACAGTGTATGCAGAAACTGGTGTAAGGTAACCACTATTCGTATTCGGCCCGAACGCAACTATTCGGCCGAATACCGAATAGTTATTAGGCCCACTATTCGGCCCCGAAACGAATACGAAGCGAATATTCGGTACAGCCCTACTTCTTATTCCTCTTATTATTATCATTATGTTTTTCAAATGTGTATGTAATTTTTTATTCTTATTTTTGCTAGACTATCTGTAACTATTTTCTTCTTCTTCCTTCGTGCACTTCTATAAGTGCCTGTTCAATGCTGTAACTTCAGGTCACATATACAAGGTCCGACAATTGAGTAATGAAAATTATTATTATTAAAAAAATTAAAACATTCAACAGTTAAAGATAAAATCTGCACTTTATTCAAAGTAAGCCCCTTGTGAATTAATACAGCACGTGGCACGATCTAACAAATACTGAAACGACCTCTGTAGTTTTTCTGTTGTTATTGCCCTTTGGATGGCATCAATATCGTTAAAGAAGCGTCCTTTCAATGGAACTTTAACTTTGGGAATAATAAATAGTTACAGGGAGACAAATCCGGGAAAATAGGGTGGATGGTTGAGAACACGCACTTGTTTTCGGGCCGACAATTTATGTACAACTACCTTTAAGCCGGTGCATTGTCATGAAAAAGAAAACAAATTGGCAGGTTTTCAATACAAACTGGCAAGAAACACTTATTTCTTGCCAAAATCTTCAACTAAATTTTTACAAAGTCTATGTATTAACACCAAATTCATCTACCACCATCCTCATAGTCGAATAACGATCTTCTTGTATCCGTTCTCGGAATTTTGCAACGAACATAAATTAGGCTATCAGGTCTAGTTGCATAGTAATCATTTAAACACCACTTTAGAATCGTAAATAGCAGCTGGAAATCTGTGCACGAGATAAACATTTATCCCCCAAAACTTGCCGCATCAATTTAACTGCTGCAATTTCGCTTTTTCTGAGTTTTGACCAAAATTTAATGTTACAGCTTTTTCTGGCTCCACGCTGATTACGTAACAATGCACCTCTGACCAGGTTAACAAAATGGCGACTTGTTTGTTGTCTGCTTATCAGGCGAAGATGAAAACTTGCCAGATCATAGATGAAGGTTGCCTTCTTGGATTTCACGCTGTGCATCATAGATGGCATTTTTGTCTTAGCCATAATAAAATCAGTCTCATTACTTAACTGTCAGACATTGTACATAGGCTCATTTACCCCCCCCCCCCCTCCTCCCCCCCCTCCCGAACCCCCCCTCCCCACCCCCCAAAAAAAACCATCCCAATCCCCCATTACTCTCCGCCCCTTCCTATTCATGACGTAACCAAAAGTAAACTTTATATTTTAACAGCAGTGCCGCGCACCCTTTTGTTATGTGTGTCTATTGATTTTACTGAACCTAAACGTACGTGACAAACCCGTCTTCAAACGCAGGCTACGATCTGTCTAGGTTCTCATTAGCAAATTATCTGCCGTTTTACGCGCGCTTTCTCACAACAGTAATTACACACTGGCACTACTGGGCACTGACAGAAGTGAAGGACTGGTATACTGGTTCAATCGATCTACCTGTCTGTGGCTCTGCCTGTCGGTATATCTGTGTGTGAGTGTGTGTGTATGTGTGTGTATGTATGTATGTGTGTGTGTATGTGTGTATGTGCGTGTTTGTATTATGTATGTATGTATGTATGTATGTATGTATGTATGTATGTATGTATGTATGTATGTATGTATGTATGTATGTATGTATGTATGTATGTGTGTGTGTATGTAAGTATGTATGTATTATGTATGTATGTATGTATGTATGTATGTTTATATGTCTATGCATGTATGTATGTATGCATGTATGTATGCATACATGTATGTGTGTACGTATATATGCATGCAAGCAAGTGTATGCGTATGTGTGTATGTATGTATGTATGGATGTATGCCTATGTGTGTGTGTGTGTGCGCGTGTGTGGATGGAGGTACTGTGTATGTGCGGATGGATATGCGTGTGTAAGGGTGGATGTATGAATATGTGTGCGTATGAATGGATTGTCAGTGTGTTGGATATATGGATGCATGGATATGTATATGGAAGGATGGGTATATCGATGGAGGGATAGATATATCTATGCATTTATGGATATATGTATGGATGGGTGGATAACGTGTAACCTTATACCTCCTTGTCTCTGATGCCTAGTGCATCCTCTGGTATATCTCCCCACCCCTCTTCCACCCCCCCCCCCAAGTCCTGTAAAATAAAGTACCCTTCTCCATGCCTTTTGAATTATTGGGCATATAGGGCTAGACCTATATTTTATAGACCAATCGGCCCTCAGTGGGTGATGTGGTCAGCAACATGCCGCTAACCTTAACTTTCCAGAACCTACTTATTACCCAGAAAAAGATGGGTCGCCTGGAAGCAAAGATCATTTCTGAATCGAACCCACGACCTTCGGATCCGCTGACTAGCGTCTAGTGGCTACACCAAAGCGGCTCCCTATGTCCCGTACACGCGTCAGCCAGTCCCTGAAATACGCGTTTCCTAACCGTCTAAAGACGTAACCTTCATCTTCGTAATCTGGTAATCTGAGTTTCAGCTTCATAGAAAACGGGTCACTCATTGTTGCTCCGCTCCTGTGCCAACGAAATCACACATAATGTTCATCACAATCTCTTGTTAAAAGATCGACAGGCTGTTGTCTCGGCATATGGACTAGCATACACACGCATTAAAAGCATACGGTAGCCATCAGAAGTGCTAACACAAACAGTCCCACATTAGAAATGTAGTTCATCGTCGATGGTAGCAGAAGCTGCCAAGAGATCTGCTGTTGCACACGCGATCAATTTTAATCGCATAAGGGCACCACCAATATTGCGACGACAAACCACGCGCTATTTTCTGGATCTACAATTCACAACACCGCGTTGGACACAGTCGAAAAACATTCAAAATTAAATCTGCAGCACACAGCGTCGCGCTTTGCACTCAACTCAGTAGCTGGGCGACGAGACTATATCCGAATAGTTTACAAATGGGGCAAAAATGCAGCCTCCACCGTCTGACAGAAGCACGCACGCACGCACGCACGCACGCACACACGCACACACACACACACACACACACACACAAACCAGAATCAAAACAGTGGCCGTGCTTAGCGTCCATTTTGACGGAAAGCTTCATTAAAATATTAAAGGTTAAAATTGAGAGAGAGAATCAAGTTAGCTGCACCTACTGTTATCCCATATGGCTCAGTCTCTCTCTAGTCACCTGCTAATATCGTCCCACAAAATCCGAACTCTGGGCTCCTGTGACGATCCCCAGAGATCTGCATAAAAACCGCACCCGTGAATTGAGCGACGCAGCCGTAAAACGAGCACGTGACCTTCAGAGCGTGAGGCAGATGATCTGCCCACCTCGCCACGGAGACTTCCCTTTCCTTCACCACATGAGCTGAACTGTTATCTTCCTCCCCCCAGTGCGTGGCCTTCTTCTCCTACACCTGGGCCTTCGGGTTCTTCCTGTGTAAAGCGGTCAACTACTTCCAGAACCTGACCATGGTGTGTTCGGTCATCACTCTCACTATGATGAGCATCGAAAGGTGAGTCTCTGTTTGTGGTCTGTAAACGATCCTATTCAATGCTGAATATTGAATGTCGAATACACAATCGACCTCGTAGCACAAGGGACACTCCCATTGGTGCTCCATAACCATCTTCAGCAGCAAACGAAGAGTTCCAGTTCCGATACTACCTGTAACTGTCTGACTGTACATCCGTCTTTCCATTGAGTGTTGAGCGTCAGCCAGATCCCGTGGTAACTCCCCATAGCGCCATTCTCCATAGACCGTAATGATATTTGTGTGCCTCTGCACTGTTCAATCGCCCTCAAAAGGCAGCAGCTTCTCTTATCGTTTTCTAGACAGCAGTTGTAAAATATTTTACCGAGATTCAAATCCTAACTTTAAACAACACCCCTGACGATGTACTCAATTTCTAGTGCCAGACTGTTTGCTGCGACACTTCTGACAGCTGCCTGATTCGCATGGCGCACCGTGGGTATGATACTGACTTTGCTGAGGCTGCAGTCTGTGCCGTATTGTTCACAAGCGACCGTGATGGAAATTATGTGGGGGATTTCGTTGGCACAAGAACGGTGCAGCTGGGAGGTGACCTGTTTGCCATGAATTTGGGACCACGTTTCGTCCATCGGGATGAGGCTAATCTAAATAGAGATCCATATGTGGAAACTGCATTAGCAAAGCGCTGTCGTAAGGGAAATAACTTCGAAGCTAAACCTTCCGCCATGCAATTCCTCTATTCTGGGCCAGAACTCAAAGTCTTTATCAACGGTTAAAACACAAAGAGACTATCGTCGAAACTGTCCGATCATATTTATGCCCCCTTTCCTCCTCCATATCCATCTCCAACCACCACCACCACTTTAGTTATCTGGCGAATATTGTCTTCGAATCTGTTTCAGTCCTAGACGGCCATAGTGAAAGTAAACGTAAAGGACGCTATTCCACACCTTTGGGTACATAGGTTAGACCTAAATTTTATAGACCGACTGGCATTTGGTGGGTGATTGGGGCCAAAATCATGCCAGTCGCCTTTACTACCCAGGACTCTACCTGGTACCCACTCAAGGCTGAGTCGACTTAGCAGCCGAGGTCATTTCTGAAAAAAGTCCGGCTCCGCCTGGACCTGAATCCACGACCTTCCGATCTGCAGACGAAGAGTCTAGCCGCTACACCACCGCGGCTGTCTAGGCGGTCAAAGCTGATTCCTAAATAAGACAATTATCATTACCAGAAATTATAACACGTTTCAAGGGGGAAAAAAGGGATTGTGAAGAGAACAAACTAACAGTAAACATCCACAAGACCCCATCAGCAGACTCAACAGAAAGCAACATACAACAATTTTCTGTCTACGAACAGGACACTGCAGGCTCAACTACCACAGGCATAAAATAACGATTGAACAGTCCCTACAGCGTGTCTGTCAAACAGGATAACAAACACCTGAGCCTATTCTGCAGACCTGCCCACTCTACATACAACTTTGAAAAGACACCTGGCCACAAGAGCAAAGTGTGCAGAGCACGCTATGGGGAACCATGAAGGACCTGCTACTGACATGTGAGTTCATAGAGGCAACCCACCTGATGGTCTGATCTGAGAATACGAAACCGAAGGCAAAGAAGAAAGAAGAAAAGAAGAAATAAGACAGTAATGACAACAAGGAAATCATTGGCATACCACAACCACAGGAGCCAAATACCCAACCCTTGCGGAAGTCTCGTACGTTGTTGAAAGTTTGACTATGTCCTGTATAGGAGTGCTAGAGGTTCCGGGTTCAAATCCCCGGTAAGGGCTGGGATTTTTTTCACGTGGACTTGGACTTCTAGTAATTTCCCCTGGTCTCTGGGTAGTGAGATCGGTTGCCCGTGTGCATTGTTGCGCACGTTAAAAAATCCCTTTGCAGTTGGAAATAGAAAAGAGTAGCCTAACGGCGCTGTCCGGGCAAAATTTGAAGTTGAAAATCTACCACAAGTATTTCAATATCCTCGCCGGTGCTACAGAGCCTGTGCACTGTGCTGAGTTTCTTCGGACTCAGACTTGAGCTAGAAGAAGAATGGAGCACTTATGGATTACCCCCCGTGTGCTATGATGCTAATCCGTTGTCCAAAACCTCAAACTGTAAAAAACATAAAATCTACAAGCATGATAATATTTTAAATGGTGCAAATGACTATGTGCGGTCATACAAGAGGTATCGTTTGTCACTGACTAAGTTCTAGTGTAGTGGTAGTGTTTCAGGCGTGGGTGTAGGCAAGACGTTGTCAAAACACTTTGAACTATCGGGGATTCCCTGATTCTGTTGCAGGAATATCGCAATACGCTGCCCCCTGCAGTCGAAGAGAATCTGCACGCGGAGCAGGGCCAAGCTGGTGGTGCTGCTGCTATGGAGTGGATCTGTGCTGCTGGCACTGCCCATCCTCGTGGGACAGGTAAGGTGGGGTGAGGGGGTGTTATCATCTGCTCTCAGCCAAGAAGTGTCATAATGTGGTAGTAGTAGTAGTAGTAAAAGTAGTAGTAGTAGTAGTAGTAGTAGTAGTAGTAGTAGTAGTAGTAGTAGTAGTAGTAGTAGTAGTAGTAGTAGTAGTAGTAGTAGTAGTAGTAGTAGTAGTAGTAGGAGGAGGAGGAGGAGGAGGAGGAAGAGAAGTTGTTGTAGCAACAACAGCAGCAGCGGTGGTGATGGTGGTGGCAGTAGTAGTAATAGTGATGGTGGTGGTGGTTGAAGTAATGGTAGTGGTGATAATGGTAGTGGTGGTAATAGTGGTGATGATGGTAGTAGTAGTAGTGATAGTGCTGTTGGTGCTAGTACTAGTAGCAATAGTGGTGGTGGTGGTGGTAGCAACCACAACAGCAGTAGTAGCAAAAACAACAGTATCTTAATATACCTACACTTTCTCTTCTCCTTACTTACTATTAAAAAAATCAACCAGAACTAGAAGTAGAGTTGTCTGTGTACATGTAGGTTTGAATTACCCCCCCCCCCTCCCCCTTGCTGATTGACGAGTGGACTCCCCTGCGACTCGAGGAGCCAGATGCTGGAGGGCAGACCAACAAGACAACGAGCAGATACACAGTTCAGTCTCGAAGTTAGATATAATGAGTTCCCCGTGTGAGTTCTAGGGCCCCTATTGTGGTGAGGTGGAAAAAAATGAGGAGGGGGTTAACCTACTGCCTCACTAACAAGCATGTCGTAAGAGCTGACTAATCAGGGATTTCCTTCCTGGGGGGGGGGGGTGCATCTGCCTGAGAGTCGAGGAACCAAAAGTCTGCATATAAGCAAGATCTGTAAAACTAACGAGCATCTGAAATTTCCGCCAGAGTTTACAGCCTGTGAACACTTTTTAAAAAAGCAGAAGATAATCAGGTGCCGGAGACGGTGACAACAACCCCGTAACGGTGACAACAACCCCGTAACGGTGACAACAACCCCGTAACGGTGACAACAACTGGTGGAGTCTGCAGTTCTGTGCGGGTAATGGGCTGAGATATAGCTCCTACTACAGGGCGAGTCAACTGGCGGCCCGCGGCCAAGTGGCCCGCAGATTATTGCTGTGTGTATTGTAGTAATGATCTTTCAATCCCGGAGTTCGGGCTTCTCGCTCCTGAATAAAGATTACCTTTTTCGGAAACATTGGCTCTTGAGTAAACTTAGTTGAATAGCCTTGCCCTTGTAAGTTTCCCAGTAAAACCCAATGATGAGTGACAAAATCAGCGTTGCGGTTAAAAAACCTTTATCAGCGTACAGTAAAAAAACTTCGTGGAAAAAGAACACACAAATAACAAAGCTGTCTCCAGAGTGAAGACTACATAATTTGAAGCCCTCGCTCTATTCATCCTCCCCCCTCCCATTAAAAAAAAGTATTTACACTTTTATTTCCTTGATTATTTCCTTTTTTTTTCTTCTTGTTTCATTTCCTTGTTTTCTGTCTGTCTGTCTTTCTATCTCTCTCCCTTTTTTTTTTCTATGTATCTATATCTCTGTTTCTTTCATACTCTTTTTCTTTTTCTCTCTGTTGCTCTCCTTGGGTGCTTCAGTTGCCTACAGGTGTTCTGAAACATCCAACCGCAGAGAGAGACACACCATCTAAAGCTAAGAACCCGGCTAGAGTTCTGCATCTAACCAACAGTCCCACAGTCTTTCAAGCAGACATCCCAAGACAGAAATCTTAAGGCAGACATCCCAAAGCAGACATCCCACACGCATCCTTTGCTGGTAGTCTTAGTCCTTATCGGCAAGTTTAGACCAGGCTCCCATTTGGAATGATAACGGCTGTCGAAGCACCAGATTGAAGATGCCAAAAGCTATAAAGACGCTCAGGCAGGGTAGTTGGCCTCTCTGGCTGCCATTTTCACGTGGATTTGTTGACAATTTGTTAAGATACAGAAACCAGTAAATTCCATTCTGTCAGTTTGACGTTAAATGTGCTCGCAGTTTCTTCCCTGTCAGATTTTTACAAAAACTTGTGTTTGTATAAATACTGGAGCAGACAACGAAACAAACGGCTCGCTCGAAATGGCGGTTAACGTACAGAAGCTTGATAGTAATCTGCGTGCAGATTAAAAATTGAGCACTAACTTAACCAAACATAACATAAAGAAAGACTAGAAATCACAATGTAGAAAAACAACAAGATGTGCGCAAATTCAACTAAACGTTTCGGCTACAGTCTTTATCGAAGGAGAAAACAAGTTGGTGCTTTATTAATATCCTACCCCAAAGAAGGGAAATCCACAGGTCACGAGACAGTCTAATATTTCAGGGGGTGGTAAATAGGCTGCATGCAGTCGTGGGACCTAGGCTGTATTCTCTCGTGGGACGTAGGTGGGTTGGAGTTAGGGCCAGTTCTACATATTCTGGGGTCATCAAAAGCATCAGACAGCCGGAAAATCCAGTCTTATCACTCTCTCAAATGTTGGATTCCTCTCTCTCAAATGTTGGATACCACTCTCTCAAATGTTGGATACCACTCTCTCAAATGTTGGATACCACTCTCTCAAATGTTGGATACCACTTTCTCAAATATTGGATACCACTCTCTCGAATGTTGGATACCACTCTCTCAAATGTTGGATACCCCTCTCTCAAATGTTGGATACCACTCTCTCAAATGTTGGATACCACTCTCTCAAATGTTGGTTACCACTCTCTCAAATGTTTTTACCACTCTCTAAAATGTTGGATACCACTCTCTCAAATGTTGGATACCACTCTCTAAAATATTGGATACCACTCTCTCAAATGTTGGATACCACTCTCTCAAATGTTGGATACCACTTTCTCAAATGATGGACTGTCCTGTGACGTCCTCTGAACTAGGATATTAATAAAGTACCAACAAGTTCTATATTCCAATTCTGATAAATAGAAAAATAAAAAAGAAACACGTGTGAGCACCAAGAAACAAATTATAAGCAATATATTCACACCAACACTGTGCTTCCAGAGCCAGACTTAAACATTATCAAAGGCTAAACTACGTAAAATTAACACCTGTGAAATGAGATGCCTGAGAAAAACCGCTAACTTAACCATCCGAGACAAAGTTAGAAAAGATATGTTCAGACAAACTGTAGGAACAACAGCAACAACATGCAGCAAATTCACTGGAAAAAAACAAGAGCAAATGATTTGGTCATATAGTGAGAATGCAGCTAGAACAACTACCAACGCAGACGCTACACGTGAAAAGATGTGACGTGAAAGGAAGAGGTCGCCCTAGGAAATATGGACTGATGACATTAAAGAGCTTGTAAATCGACAAGGAATTAAAATAGCCATTGCTAGCTACCAAGCAATTCATCGTTAACTGTTTCTTCCCACGGCGCTCAACAGCAACAGTGAAAATTGATGATGATGATGATGATGGTGTAGTTTTCATTGTTTGAAATGCTGTGGAAACAGAATGTTGAAAATATACTTTATGAGTACTCCAGTGACATTTCTCACACTTATGAACTTGATGGCAACTCTTCTCTCTCTCTCTCTCTCTCTCTCTCTCTCTCTCTCTCTCTCTCTCTCTCTCTCTCTCTCTTTCTCTCTCTCACTCATTCACCCTCTCTCTCTTTCTCTCTCTATGTCATTCGATCGCTCTCTCTCTCTGTCTCTCTTGCTCTATCTCTCTCTATGTCACTGTCCCTCCGTGTCACTCGCTCTGTGTCTCTCCCGTCACTCTCTCTCTCTCTATGTCACAGACTTTCTATATGTCACTCTCTCACTGGATCGCTCTCATTCTCTTTCTCTGTGTGTGTGTGTGTCATTTGCTCCCTCTCTGTGTCACACTTTCTCTCTGTCACTTTCTCTCAGTGTCACTCCTTGTCGTTCACTCTCTCTCTCTTTCTCTCTTTCTCTCTCTCTCTCTCTCTCTCTCTCTCTCTCTCTCTCTCTCTCTCTCTCTCTCTCTCTCTCTCTCTCTCTCTCTTTCTCTCTCTCAACCCGCGTCCTTGTCAAAAACGTACGTGGCCGAAAATTCAATTTGCCAGAAAAGGCAGATGTTTGGCCCATAAATCTGACTTGCCGTGTACAGATAGGACCTGGCAAGGTTGACCGTCCGTGAGAACGTCACTTCCTGTCAGTTAGATGGAAATCACGCTCCTGGAAAGACAATGTCTACAGACATGGCTGCTGCAGTCAACAAGCCCCCCACCTTTTTTTTTAAATATCTCCACCGAAAGGACAACTTGTGATGTTAATGTCCACAAGAATGGACATGTAGGAATGCTGAAATTGTTTCAGTGAAACACAAATCGATAATCGGCGTCAGATTTTTTGGATTTATGTAGGCCAAAACAGTTTGTTGGCTGCTGAGGTTATATAGGGAAGCAACAATTGTAACAGTACACCTCTTCAAGCGTCTTGCAGGAAGCGATCAAGGGTTGTGTAGGCCATGGAGTTGGTCAACCAATCCCAAGATGATACTCAGGAGCAAAATCCAATCAATTGTGGACTACTGAATCAAGATGGGATGAAGAGACGATGATGCTTTGAGTAGGCCAAACAACCGAGAAAACATCATAACAACAGTATCACCAGAATCCCGCATTTGGGTTCTGAGGCCCTGTGTGGGGAAAATAAAAACAGACGCACTGTATGCTTAACAAGCATGTCGTAGAGGTCGACTAATTTTGAGCTTCTTTTCTAGTCGGAGTGCATCTGCTGGAGAGGCACGGAACAAACAGCCTGCATACAAATAAGTATATTCGACTGGCACCTTTCTGTCTTTCCCAACGATATTGTTTTACTGCGCTATTAGTAGGCATAGCGATAGCGAGTGTGACTAGCAAGACCCGCCCGCATTAAGAAAAACCTTCCACGGTTATAGCATGGAGTTTCAGGACAATTATTATCAACATTTGTGTTTAGTCTGATCCTTCTCAGACGCTCAGCTTTCATCCTTTCTGCAGTCGTTTCTTCCTTTATTCTCATTCCTTTCCTGGTGTGCCTTCTCCACACAACACGCTCAATGGCATACAAATAGGTCATATCTGTAGAAGAGGATGTACACGCAACACTCATGTTCTGGAAGAGGACTAGAGTCCAGAAGTGAACGAACAACCAGACCTTTTTGCCGGATTTTACATTCCGTAAGCGCAAAGAAGAAAATTAAGGAGTGTTATTAATGTCCTTGTAACTGAGTTCATACGACCAAAAAGCAATCAAGCGAGTCTCAAATTTTACAACCGAAGGGGAGGACCTTAGAATACAACTTTGCGGATACTCAGCACATGCAAGTGCAGGCTGGCTGAAATGGGGTCTGGGCTTGAGTCCCAACTACCCAGTTCATCTGCCGAACATCTGTCCAAACCAGGTGCAAAACCTGCACCACATCAGAGAGAACGAATAATCCGTCATTTGTCACAAAAGACGTATCCGATTCTGGAAGACAGCAGAAATTGATGACGACATCGGGTTTTTATGTCGATCACGTGATGCTAATGCAGGAACGCCAGCTACAGAAACCGATTGGTTAAAAAAAAAAAAGATAATTTAGCAGTGAAAATAGAATATGTATTCAGAGATGCTGCCCCACTGAAATAATTGAAGGGTTCTGGGGCGGGGGCCCCTTCAACCTCCTTCTTAATTTCAAGGGGCGGGGGGAGGGTGGTGTAAGATGCCCTCGGCTCTTAGATTGCACCGCCCCTGTGTGGCTTACTTTCAGTGTGGTGTGTATGTGTTTGCGTCAGAGGGGTGGGTGTCTGCGTGTGTATGTGGATGGGTGGTGTGTTTCCTTGTGTGTATGTGGATGGGCGTGTATGTGCCTGTGTATACATGTGCGTATGAATATGTGAATGTGTATATGGCGACTGGTTAAAAAGATTCAGGCGAACGGACACGTCTTGTTAAAAAAAAGAAACGGAACAAGGACATGATTGATTGAAACGAAACGGTCTACCTAAAAAAAAAAAAAAAACGATTAGTTCAAGCAAAGCCGGCGAATAACACGATATTTTAAAGGGAACAGGCCAGCTAAAATTACTGGTAAAAAATAAATTAACATCGAAAGCGACTGTGTGAAACGAAAAGGACACGAACAGCTGTTAAAAAGAGGACAGTTTTTCTTCCGACCTCCCCACCGGCCAAATACTGAATTCCGATCACGATAGGTTTTGCAATATAGTTTAGCTTATACAAGATGGCAGCTCATACGGGTAATTTGCCAGGGAAAGATGAAGACTTGACCCCACGCGGAAAATCAAGTTGGCCCCAGCGAACGTGACTGTATATTTAAATGGGCCCCTTTCAGATCTCTGGGCCTGCTCTAAGCACCATCTCCCATTGTCTACTATAAGATGGCGGCAACCGGCGTCGGTAATTCTCTTCTCCTGGGAGGAAGATTAAGTCGGTACTTCACGAAACAAATACCGGGGTATCAGTCGCAGCAAGTGATTGTTTAATTGGCTGACATTTTGTCTGTTTTTTTTTTCTTCTTCTTCTTCTTCTTCTTCTTCTTCTTCTTCTTCTTCTTCTTCTTCTTCTTCTTCTTCTTCTACCTTTCTTTCTTTCTTCTTTTTCTTTCTTTCTTTTTTTTTCTTTCTTTCTTTCTTTCTTTCTTTCTTTCTTTCTTTCTTTCTTTCTTTCTTTCTTTCTTTCTTTCTTTCTTTCTTTCTTTCTTTCTTTCTTTCTTTCTTTCTTTCTTTCTTTTTCTTTCTTTTTTTTTCTTTCTTTCTTTCTTTCTTTCTTTCTTTCCATCCTATCTTTGACTATCTATCTATCTATCTATCTATCTATCTATCTATCTATCTATCTATCTATCTATCTATCTATCTATCTATCTATCTATCTATCTATCTATCTATCTATCTATCTATCTATCTATCTATCTATCTATCTATCTATCTATCTATCTATCTATCTATCTATCTATCTATCTATCTATCTATCTATCTATCTATCTATCTATCTATCTATCTATCTATCTATCTATCTATCTATCTATCTATCTATCTATCTATCTATCTATCTATCTATCTATCTATCTATCTATCTATCTATCTATCTATCTATCTATCTATCTATCTATCTATCTATCTATCTATCTATCTATCTATCTATCTATCTATCTATCTATCTATCTATCTATCTATCTATCTATCTATCTATCTATCTATCTATCTATCTATCTATCTATCTATCTATCTATCTATCTATCTATCTATCTATCTATCTATCTATCTATCTATCTATCTATCTATCTATCTATCTATCTATCTATCTATCTATCTATCTATCTATCTATCTATCTATCTATCTATCTATCTATCTATCTATCTATCTATCTATCTATCTATCTATCTATCTATCTATCTATCTATCTATCTATCTATCTATCTATCTATCTATCTATCTATCTATCTATCTATCTATCTATCTATCTATCTATCTATCTATCTATCTATCTATCTATCTATCTATCTATCTATCTATCTATCTATCTATCTATATATCTATCTATCTATCTATCTATCTATCTATCTATCTATCTATCTATCTATCTATCTATCTATCTATCTATCTATCTATCTATCTATCTATCTATCTATCTATCTATCTTTCTATCTATCTATCTCTCTCTCTCTCTCTCTCTCTCTCTCTCTATCCATCCATCCATCCATCCATCCATCCATCCATCCATCCATCCATCCATCCATCCATCCATCCATCCATCCATCCATCCATCCATCCATCCATCCATCCATCCATCCATCCATCCATCCATCCATCCATTGCAGACGAGCAAGATTTGGCAGACGATCAATTATTGACGGAATCTACAAACCCAAGACCAAACGTCAGTCTAATGTAGAGGTTACTCGAAAACTGGGCAGTACAATGACAATTTTAGTCTGAGTTTGGCTGCAGGTCCTGGCAACCTTTGTGATCAAGGATAAGGTTATGGAGGCGATTGAGTGACTAAGAAAATAAACAGGGATGAGAAGAAGTGTTGTCTTTAGGTCAAATAAAGATGTAATGACCCTGGCTCTAATAAAAGATAAAAGTATGTAGGTCATGAAATATCTGTTGGTCTAACAAAGAAAGTAATGACCCTAGTTCTAATGAACAAGTAATTCCGTAGCACTAATAAAACAAAAATAATGACCCTAGCTCTAATAAACAATTAATATCCATAGGTCATATAAAGAAAGTAATGTCCGTAGCTGTAATAAACTACTAATGTCCGTAAGTCTAACAAAAAAGTAATGCCCGTAAGTCTAACAAAAAAGTAATGCCCGTAGTCTAACAAACAAACAAACAAAAAACAACAACAACAAAAACCAGTAGTATCCGTAGGTCTAATAAAAAGGTTCTTTTTCTTTTTCTTCTTCGCGTTCACCGGCTGTACACTCTGGTGAGAAGTTCTGGTTGTTCGTCCACTTCTCTAGCTCCGTCCCAGAACCTGATAGTTGCATGTGCAAATACGCTCTACAGACCTGACTAATTTGCAAGCAGACCGTTGGTTGTTTGCCTCTAGGGCAGAGGCACTCCGACGCTTCTCAGGGGAAGCATTCAATTAGTTGACTCTTACGGTACGTTTTAGGTTGTGCAGTGGGACTCTTCTTGTTTACTCCCGCAATAGGGCCCAGGAACCCACTCGGAAACAACTTCACTTCACTTAGTCGCTCCTCTTCTACCTTGGGGTGTAGAGGTTTGCCAGAGAGATCGCCAGACGTCTCTATCAGCAGTTTTCTTTCTGGCTTTGTTCCATTCCAGTCCTCTGTCGGTTAGGGACTGTCGGATGTTGTCTTCCCAGCGCACCCTGGGTCGTCCCGGAGGTCTGGTTCCCTGGTTCTTAGCCTCCCATGCTTGCCATGGTGGCCGATTTTCTCCCATTCTGCATACATGTCCAAACCATCGTAACTGTGACTGATCTACTCGGGTTAGTAAGGGCTGGGTATCAAGATCTTGACGTATTGTCTGATTGCGGACTTTGTCCCTTCTTGTCACTTGGACCACCTTTCTCAGGTATCTAATTTCCGAGGCCTGCAGCTGGCTTCTGTGAGCTGTTGTCATTGCCCATGACTCACACCCATAGGTCAGGACTGGTACATAGGTAGAGCGGTAAACAGCCATTTTCGTCCTTTTGCCAATTTCTCTTTTGCTAAGAAACCCTCGGTTTATGGCCTAGAAGAGTCTCCCAGCAGCTGCTTTTCGTGTAGCCAGCTCTGTCTTAATGCCTCCATTTTGGTCTAATACAACTCCAAGGTATTTGAACTGGTTAACCTGCTCCAACGCATACTGTCCCATCATTATCTGGTGTTTCACTCGGAAACAACGCTGCAAAAAATGTCAGGTTCTTAATTTATAACGGACCCCAAACACGAAATTCCCGTGGGAAATCCACAGCTGACCTGACAGTCCATTATTTCAATGGGTGGAAGTGTGCTGTTGTGTAGTGCTGTTTTTTTTTTTTTTTTTTTTTTGAGTGTTGATCTACTGTCTTCTAACCCTAACCCTAAACTTGGCTGTAGATAAATCGCGAGAAACTACAACCTGAACACCCTAGAATGTATTGGGAATGTCTCCCGTGACGTTGTCGTGACGTCAGGGGTAAGTTATAAATGAAGTACCGATACCAAATGTCATTACATAAATGTTCCTACTGTACGCATTTCTGTCGACAGAAACACAAACCGGTGGGCTACATGCACAAGTTCTACTGGTGCATCCGAGAGTGGGACAGGCCCATCTACGGGATGCTGTTCGAATCCTACATGTTGATTTTGCTCTTCTTGCTTCCGGTTGGGGTGATGATTGTCTCCTACACAACAATCTGCATGGAACTGGCCAGGGGCACTAAGTTCCGTCGACAGGCTACAGGCAACTCGTAAGTTCAGAGCTTTCCAAACTTTTCCTGTTCTGACAGAGCTTTCCAAACTTTTCCTGTTCTGACAGAGCTTTCCTAACTTTTCCTGTTCGGACAGAGCTTTCCAAATTCTTCCTGCTGCTGACACAATTTTCAGACAAAATAAGTCCGCGACACAGTAATTCGGTTGACT